GGGGGGGGGCGGCGCTGCGGAAGAGCAGATTGCGAGTGAGAAATAAATAAATTGGAAATAAAAGTTTCATATTCTGAAAGCCAAGACTTTGTTTGTTTAAAATCAAACAAAACACCCGAACCCCGAAAAAATAGTTTTTTTTACGTAAATCCACGTTTATTTTGAGAGATTCTGCTCTGACAACTAAGCTAAACTTTTACCTGTTAAGATTGTGCACGGCACAACAGAAAGTTACAGTAATTTTCAATGGACTTTTTTTCTGTGAAGAACCCAGAGAGGGTTATTTGGTTATTATTTATTTCATAAATAGTGTTATTTATTTCATTAATAGTGTTATTATTTATTTCCTGACTTTTTTTCTGTGAAGATCCCGGAAAGGGTTATTAATATTTGGTTATGTGTGGCTTTCTAGAAAACAATAAATGTTTACGTTTAGACACCCATGCGATCGTCACACTTTTTCTGTTACAAACTGACCCGGCCCCCATCAGAGAAGGGAAAAGTTATGTGGCCCTCACAGGAAAAAGTTTGGGGACCCCTGATCTAAGTGATCCGATCTCGCGACAGGGGAAGCAAACACAGACATCACAACACATACCTTTTACGGAGCTTTTACGGGAGATTGTCTCACCGTAGCTGTCAATCTGATCAAAAGACGTGTTCAATGGCATTAAAACGAGAAAAAACGCTGCTAAATCGGTTGATCCATAGGTTGATAATGTATCTATGGCTTTGAAGCAATTGTTTATAATCCATAATTCCATTTTTATGTAAAAATCGGAGCACAAAAGTTAGCTGCTAATGGTAGCCACCAGAGTGTATGCAGCTTCCGGTTTTGGCTACGCGTCACTCTCACTCCTTATTTGAGAGGGGTCTGCCTGCAGACCTCCACTCTCAGGACAGTTACGGTGCAGACCTCCACTCTCAGGACACCTCCACTCTCAGGACAGGAAGTGCACGCTAAGAATTCCAAAATAAAATCACCACTATCAGTACAGTGCCACTTTCCAAACAGGAAATGCACGCAAATACAAAATAAAATCGTACTGACACTTATTATCTATATATATAGATATATATTTATTTATATATATAAATACGACATCTTGTATTTTAGTTACACCCGCTAGACAACAGTGGAAGGTTCGAGAAACAACCGTGTTTGCCGGGTGCACCGCAGCGGAGGTGGGGAGGTTCCAGCTGGGAACCTCCACCCCGCTGCGTGACCCGTGGGACCCCTGGACGGTGCGTCTTGGTCACGCTTCATATCGGCCGGCTCGGGAAGGAAGAGACACGCAGAGTGGGGGAAGTCCCCCACCCCAACGCAGCACACCCTCCCGGCCATCAGAGTCGAACCCGTAGTTCGGAGGAACCGACCGCCAGAGCACCGGCACTAGGCCGGGCCGGCGTGGAGGCCTTCCGACAGTGGGTCGCGTTTGCCATTCGATCAGTGAGAGGAGAGGAGAAATTTGCATCAAAAATGATCAAAATCCGTTAATATATGGATGAGTGTGTGTGGGGGGGGGGGGGGGCTGGACACAGGCCGTGGGGGGGACACCCGAGACCGGGCAATGTCCCCGGTAGACACCGGGTGAAATAGCCAAAAAAATTAAAAATAATAAAACCGGGGAAAAGTGTCTGAAAATAGGCACTCGTGAGGCGGGCAGAGTCCCCTGTCAACTCCCGTTACATTCCTCCATGATGTCATTTGAGCGAAAAACTTTTACGAGAACCAAGCTGGGGGGGTCAAAAGGGCTTGACCAAGGCCGACCCAAAGTGCACGGTGGGCGGACTCATCACCTCCGTGATGAGTCTCCATTGTGATTTGAAAACTTCCATCAAACGAGTCCTACGGTGGACGGGAAAAAAAAAACGCGTCACTTCCTGTACTGACAGTGGAGGTGTCCTGAGACTGGAGGTCTGCACCGGAACTGTCCTGAGAGTGGAGGTCTGCAGGCAGGCTCCCATTCCTTATTTGGTAATGTGTGTGTGTTAGACTGCTGCATTGCCAAGACCGGAAGCAGCAGCCACTCTGGTGGCTACCATTAGCAGCTAACTTTTGCTCTGCGATTTTTACATAAAAATGGAATTATGGATTATAAATGAAATAATTTTTTATACAGAGACGTTAAAAACCTATGGATTAACCGATTCAGCCGCGTTTTTTCTCGTTTTAATGCCATTGAACAAGTCTTTTGATCAGATTGACAGCTACGGTGAGACGATCTCCCTAGAAGCTCCGTAAAAGGTACGTGTTGTGATATCTGTGTTATCTGTGATATCTGTGATCCCCTGTCGCGAGTTCGGATGACTCAGTGATGATACTATAGATGAGAGTAACAAATGCGTCACTTCCGGGCAAAAATAACGGCTCCGCCCACTTTTGGGGAAAAACAACGCTGTCAGTTGAACGGCGGTCAATACAAATTCTGAAGTTTTTGCCAATCCGATCAGAAATGTAAGAAAACCGGAGACTTTTGGATCTTCAAAGAGCCCGATTCCAATGGCCAGACAGGCAAACAATTGCATTAAGCCATTAGAAATCGATTGTCGGGCTCGATATATGGTTAAATATAGCAGTAGGCGATCGATTTTCATAGATGAGAGTAACATCTACGTGACTTTACGGCCCCGCCCACTTTTGGGGGAAACACATAGGGGAAATAACGCTGTCATTTGAATGGCGATCGAGCCTGAAGCCACAGAGCTCTTCTGTTACTGTCCTTTCTTCTTAGAGGAAGTACAGAAACACTGAACTCTTGATTAATTTTTATGTTTGAGGTGCAATAAACGACACAGCAGCTTTTTGGCATGTTAAAACTATTATGTTCCACCTCGCTCATGAGAGTAACAGCTGGAGAAATTACAGGCTCGCCTACTGATTTTAATTTAACCATATATCGAGACTGATTGTCGATTTCCAATGATCGAATGCAATTGTTTGCCTGACTGGCCATCGTAATCGAGCTCTTTGAAGATCCAAAAATCCACGGTTTTCAAAGAAATTTGATCGGATTGGCAAAAACTTCAGAATTTGTATTGACCGCCATTCAAATGACAGCGTTGTTTTCCCCCAAAAGTGGGCGGGGCCGTAATTTTTGCCCGGAAGTGACGTAGGTGTTACTCTCATCTATATACCTAAATAATCTGTGGAACCTCAGCTTTAATCGGATATCTTGTATGTGCAGCTACGATAAGTAATAAGGGTACTTTTATCTTGAGTTCTGTGCCAAAGTCTGTTAGCATTTTTCGCTCAGGGGTCATTTAGATGCTTCTTATGAGACTTGTGTTTTGTTTTGGTAAAAATGGTTTGTATCGTCAGTTAGCTGAGATTATTTCCGTTAATCTGGTATATCACATTACTAGGTTCTTAAATATTAAGATCCCCTGAGACACTGTCGTGAAGTAGAGTAAAGTAAAGTACCCGCCGGGACCTTGGGGCTTAACAGGTTAAAAAAAACGCAATATATATCGCAGGGGGAAAAAAAACCGCAATGTCAGTTTTTTTCAATATCGTACAGCCCTAATTTGAATGCCAGTACATATTTAAGAATATGACATAATCTACTTGGAAGTAGAGTCACCTCTCACAGGCATTTAAGTCATTGTGATCAGATTCATAATTCACCATTATGTGCTCAGACTGGTTGACTTATTCTGGAGCTCTACAGGTTTAATTTAAATCCCCTTGTAGCTCTATCTTGTACATGTGGGGGGAATTTCTATCCTGCGCGAAACACATCCCCCAAGAGCCTGTACGTTTATGTAAGCCTGGAATACTTCAAAAGGTCTAAAAAGGCTTGCATGCTTTGCAGTTTCATTGGATCGAATCCTTACAGATGGAAGCATTTTCAGACTATCGATTAAACCACAAGATATCTTGCCATGGTCATTTATTGGCAAGCTTTGCTGGATGTATACTCGACTGTCTCCAATTGGACAGAGATATGATTTATTTTTCATGTATATGAGGCATTATACACAGTCTGTTAAGCAGTAACACAGAAACCTCAATCACAAAGCATAGAAAATTGTTCCGATGGGTGTTTTGAACTTTTTAGGAGGAACATGGCGGTTTGATGTTTACGGACGCCTGAGGCATTACTGTAATTTGAACTGAAACAGCAACTGTAAAATACTTTTATGTAGCTCATTGCTCATTAGCTCAGCCTTACTGCAGCTTCGTAATAAAAAGGATTCCTTCCACTCTCCTTCCCTCTCTCCTCGGTTCAACGGTACTGTCTGCCTGTGAGCAGCAGGAACACGATTTACACCAGCCTCGCCCCAGAGTGCCTGATTGAAATTCTCACTCTATATTACCAGTCAACGGAAATGTTTAAGTGCTATTCCCTCTTCCCATCTGGAATAATACGCTGCAGTGCTCCCTGGCATTACAGCCTCATTTCAGGCAGCCAGTTGGCTGCTCTGCGTTTCTTACCACTGGCCATGGCCGTTATCGCCAGCGTTAAGTTCCCTGCACTTCTAAGTAGTTTGCAGTTTCGCTGCAACAAACATGGTAATGTATGACCGCCCCTGGTGTTCCTCCGCCTTCTCTCATCTTCAATGCCCTGTTTTATTTAAAGCTGCTGTAAGCTGTTTGTCGTCACAAATAATAATTTTGCCTCTTTTCCTTCTTAAGAGTGAGGTCCATACTTGTGAACTGTGGTCTCAAAACTGTGCTCCGCTCTAAACATGCTGCTCCAGCATGTCAGACTGCTGTTATGCTTGTTATGTGGCGCTCTCATCTCCAAGAGAGGCTGCCTCTATTGACTCACAGAACACATTTCAGGATGAACCTAAGATACTATTAGCTGCTTGATATTCATGCCTGTCTCTGCAACTCCACCTCTCACCATTGTATTTCCTCAACCACCTATTACCTTGTTTCCCTCTCAATTGGTATGCCCTTCATTGGCCTCCATTCACCACCACTCCTGCTCTCATTTCGGCAAGCTCCTAAATCATCCATCCTTAATTAGCTCTTCGTCTCTCCCCCACAGAAGCTCCGGGGCAGGGCTTTGTGACTCTGGACTATCGCCTGCGCTACTACCCCAGCATCACGTACGCCGTCATTGGCAGCGCCGTCATCTTCGTCCTGGTGGTGGCGTTGCTCGCCCTGGTGCTTCATCACCAGAGGAAGCGAAGCGTCCTGCTTCCCAGAGGCGTGAGGGGGAGCTCGTACCACCACCACCAGCCCCTGCTGCTGTCCCGTCTGGTCATTTTGGAGCGGGGCCACGTCCATCCCGGGGGTCCAGGCCTCTCCCCCGGCTCCCCCACCGTAGCGGGCCAGTACAGCTCAACTCCTCAGGCACTACATCTGCTGTCTGGGACCCTTTATCCCTCCGGACTGTCCATGGACTCACCTCCATCATACTCACAAGCTGTTCTGGATGTCAGGTGAACAGAATAATGATTCTAACAGCTGTATGAGAGTTTATAATCCACTCTCTTTATTCATAAAGCTATTTGTGCACTCTACGCCACAACTCAACCAAAAAAAGCAGAAGTAGTGGTGGTAGAATTTGTCTCTATAGCTAAATCTAATTTAGTATATCATTTAATACAACATAATAAACTGTAATTGAATTGTCCTCTACTAGGCTGGTAATCTTTTACAGTTATATATTATTTAATTAATTATCTGAAATACATTATTTGATAAAGGATTGCTGTTGTTAAAAAAAAGCTAAACATACATTATTTCAAATAACTTATAGTGAACATTGCTCTAGAGCAGGGATGGGCAACTTTGATGTTGGTGGGGGCCACATAATGTATATACTGGCCACCAGGGGCCGCAGATTCACTTGGAACACAAACACACACACAAATTCCATGTGTTGTATGTAATTATTAACAAATATACTTAGTCTGACATCTTCATTGACATTTTTTAGGGAACATCTCTAATAAGCTCACTAAACAAATATCAGTTCACAGAAATGTTATTTCATTTTTACAAGTGGCATGTTTGTATTGAACAGCTTATTTAACAGTGGAATAAAACTATTACTAGCACGGAAAATGTGTGTGCATTGAGATTAATCATTAAGATGACATAAACATGAAGTCATGAACACTAACCCAGATATTAGTTGTCTAACTTCTTGAACCTAAAACACTTGTAGCCTGTCTCTGCATTCCCCTTATTCCACAATAAGGGGAATGTCAACACAGACACCTGTCAGCCCGCACTCTGCTGTTCCTCAGCACCACTCCCCCTCCCTCCCGCTGAAATTATGAATGAAAAGCGTAGTAATCATAGATAACACGGCAGGGTCCGTGACAGTTTGGTTTCATCTGATTTCAAATAAACAAAGTCTTGGTTTTTAGAATATTAAACTTGTTTCGCCAAATTCAAATGTTAAATACAACTTTGAAGCTTGTAACGGCATCATTACAAGCGGCAACTTAACATCACAGCAGGCATTACAACAGCCGGTGTTTCTTGTGTTTATTGTGTTTGTTTCCCCGGGAAACAAACACAATACACACAAACGCGTCACAGATTATTTTTGCGGTATTTGAAATCATGTATGCAGCTCGCGACGTAACTAGGAGTCTAGTGGACAGTATTGGGCCGCCATTTGCCCATCCCTGCTCTAGAGAAGGAAATACTGATTAAAGTCATCACTTTCTCTGCAATTACCTGCTTCAAAATGAATCATTCAGGATCAATATGTGCAACCTTTGTTCAAATTCAAAATAAATCGGGGGAAAAAATCTAATATTGGGAATGAGAGTCTTACAGGTGTTTTTAAATATTCATGTCATCACCAGCGGAGTGTGCTTCCTGAATATTGCTGCTGGTCAAAGTAAAAGAAAATCCAACACTCATGGTCCTGACATCACTTTCTTCTTCTGTCTTTACCCCCAGTCGGCCTCCCTGGTTTGATCTCCCTCCTCCTCCGTACCTCTCAGAAGGAGAGCTTCCATCGGAGGGCGAGCTGCCTCAATACGAGGGCCCACAGGACCCTTTGAGCTTCCCCACAACGCATTTCTCTGCACCCTCAACACCCAGAACTGTGGCCTCAGGCACGCAGCCCACTTCCAGCTCCAGAGGGGAGTCGGAGCAGCCGTAGCCTCTCTGTTGGTTGAACTAGTCAGAACTCAGAGACTGCAGGACTGACGGAGCAGGCTGCAGGGCCACGAGGCCAGGACAGTTGCCCTAAACTCTTGGGCTGATTGAAGCACTGGACTGAGATGAGTTTATCCTGCGAGACCAATGTTGTGTGCTGGCTCCCCCTACTGAGGTCAGGGCTGCACTACACCCTCATCTGTTAGTTCATTTATTTCTCTACAGTTGGCTTCAGTTGACGTGCACTCCCCTTGGAAATATACTCTGTATGATACATTACAGTTACCATAGCCTGCATCTCTAAAGAGTTAAACTTACACTTATTATGAAGATATTCATTAAACTATCACATAGAATGGTAACTGAAAAGGTTGTTGTTTTTTATAGTGTAGTTTATGGAGTGGTGTTATTCTCCAGGTTAACTCACTTGGAAAGCACTTACAGCGCCATGCACCATTTTGCAATACTCCTTACCATACTTCACATTTCACATCCACAATGTTTTCCATAGTGGGCTTTATAAGAGATTTGTATTGTGTTAAAGTGGACCTATTGTATTATGCTATATTGGACAAATATATTGTAGGGCCATACCTATACAAAACATGTCTGTGAAGTTCTTTGCTTAAAATACCAAACAGATCACCCATTGTAGCCATGCCTCATACTGCTCATACCCCTCTGTTGCTGCCCTGTTAGAGAAACTCGGATTTTGGGTCCTTAGCTTGAAAAAAAGAAAAAGAGGAGGCGGAGCTAATGCCTGATCAGAATTATACCGGAGATAAAGTTAAATTCTGTTGTGATAAAACGCCACCCTGTTCTAAACCACATCAAGGATTATTTCTGAAACAGTATGGAGCTCAAATGCTTTGTCTCTTGGAGGTTTATCACAAGGTGAGTTCCTTTTTTTATTTCCTGCTTTTTAAAACACATGTGCTCTCCAGTACAGGTTAGCTCTGAGTGTTAGCGAGGCTTGCTAATGTAAACAAAAACGAGATTACGTCCAAAACACGTCAGGCATTGTTTTCTGATAGCAACTTTCTGTGGGTCCGCTGCCGATTTCACGTCATATCGGCAGCAAATCTGTATCCACTAGTTGTATCCCCGTTTTTAAAAGATTTGGGTACGGAGGAAAAGAGAGAGGGTTTTATTTTCTGACGCTGCGTGAGTTCCCCGACGCACCGGGGACACATATTTATGTATAAAAGACATCACAAAGTGCATTTTGCATGATAGGTCCCCTTTAAAATTGTAAATTACCTGACTGACAGATAAAGTATGTACTTTTTAGGATCACTGCTACATTTGATGATTTAATGTACTTTGTCATTTTTAGCTATGGTATGTTAATGCCTTATTTTCACCGATGTCGACAGATCTTTTAAGTCAAAGAGAAGACGATACAGTAGTGTGATTTTAATAATAGTGTAACAGAAACACGTACACTCGTGATGTACAAGAGCAGCTCAATCAGAGGGTTTTTCAGTGTTGAACCATGACCTAATAATAGGACTACAGTATATTGGTTACAAATCAACACTTTGTTACTCTTTCAGTGGTACTTTAAACTAAACTCATATAAGAAGAATGTTTTCGTGAGACATATCTAGGTGAGGTGTGGAGGAATATTTGTTTTTGTCAATTGGTTAACGTCAAACCTAAACCGTGAAAAGGACCATTGAGATTTGTTTAAAATAATATTGAGCAGAAATTATATATATATATATATATATATATATAGGTACATATCCTTACCAAATGAGCTTCATTAATCATTCCTCTAAGCAAAAGTATCACCTCTTGGTAAATATAACGTTTTATTACATTTCTGATTAAAGACCAATAATGTTTCTTTATGTAGACAAAAATAAATCCAGATGATTGTGTTGAGGCCTTAGTGTTTGTTAGTTTGGCCCTTTGTATGTGACATGTATGATGGCAAAAATCCCCTATTTAGATCCTCTAAAAACGGTCCAGTAGTAATCTCACACAACAACATACATTGAAGAATATCATGACCTATATCAGACTGTTCAGACTTTTGTATATATAACTGTGTCATTCTGGAAAATCATCCTCAATAGTATTAGACAATGACAGATGAGTTCCTATCTGAAGGATCTGTGTTTAAATATGTTCTTTTGTTTTTTGACCTTTCTTCGTTCATTACAACATGTTCAACACTGTACATAGGAATATGTATGTAAAGAAGTATTTAAAAAGTAGAGTGTAAAGCCAGAGGTGAATGTGTAAATGCAGTTGTGCCTTGCATCTTTATTTTCCTCCAGGGCCAGCAGTAGTGACGCAGGCAGAAGAAAAACATTAAAACCAAAGATAATCATTTGTAACCACTACCCTCCAAAGGAATGATTATGTTTCACACTGTTTGCTCCTTTTTAATATGTTAAAAAGTGCAAAGGCCTATAGAGTAAAACAGAATTTATGTTATTTGCTGTAAAACTGCAAAAACAGTTCTCAGGACGAAATGTATACCAGCTTGTCTGTTGTTTGTTTCTGGGGTTTTTTATTAAGGAAAGATCAAACATCGTTATTTCTCTGATTTGATCTCCTGAGGTTAATTATCTGCCTTTGTTACGCTGCCTATCATGATCTTTTTACCACCTTGTATTCTTTATTTTGAAAGTAATATACAATTCTGACTCAGATCGTGTGTGTGGGTCTTTTACTGGAAATCTCATTGTACGGTTTCTCTGGAACTTAACGTATTCTAAAACCATGTGTATTGCAACGTATGGAGCTTTACCGCGGGACCAAACTTAGAACGCAGTTCCCTAGATAATAAAGATAATAAATGTTGCTGAGTCTACACTGTGGGTAGAAACAAATACACATTCTTTGGTGGAAGAAAGAAATGTGATTACAAATCCTGCATACTAAATGTTACTCAAGTTAGTTGTGGAAGTGTTATCAGATGAATGTTCTCGTACTGCAGTCGAAGTGGCCTTTGTGACTGAATATTATTATTAATTACATTATTAGTTCATCCTGATGCAAAAGTGTAGAGGCAGCATTATACTGTTGTGGAGCTTCTTTTTATACAGTGGTTTCCAACCTGCAAGTTATTCTGCAGGACAAATGTGTATTCATAGTTTAGAATTGTTTTATTGACTTTTTTTGTAAAAAAACAAATGAATAATTGTTACTTAATTGGGATTGAAACTATATCCTGAATGAAACAATGACGCATAAGGCTTAAGCCAAAGTGTTTGAGATCAAGAATGTAAAATTCTAATCTCCAGTTTAACAAGTTACTGTATGTGTCCAATAAATGTAGTTAAATATAAAGTACAATATTTCTGTCTCAAGAGTTTAAAATAAAAAGGAAAGAAGTGAATAAACCTAGTTTTGTTGTCATCACTGAAAACCTTTAACAACATTTATAAAGCCTTTAATGGAGTAAAGTTATAGTCATGAGACAGTGATATGAAAGCAAATATCATTAAGCTAGGAAGCTTTGTGTCCCCTCGAGTATTCATATTTCCCTCCATGCATTTAGTTTCTTTGCGCTGGCAGCAGAGCCCTGCAGTTCTTCAGATCCACCTCTAGAGGTCACCGTGTCCCCATAATGAGACAAAGCTCTGTGCAGAAGGTCCAATGTGCAAAAACTTTCTGCTGCAATGTAATCTAATATGTTCTGTCAAAGTAGCTATTGATATATTTCTTGTAAAAAATGTCAAAGCTCAGATTTGCATATATCTAAGATTCATGGCAACTATCTCTTATGACACCTAGTTCACTGAATTCATGAATAGTATGAATATTATCTCGCTAGTCGCCTCCTATTTTCATTGTAATGTCCCTGAAAACCCTGCATTTCATCCCGCCCCTCCCACCCTAATATCCGCATCACATTATGATACATCAGATAACATGTGATATCATCTCTGACACCCATCCCCTGTCCTTCCCGGTGCCTTAAAGTCCTGATCATCCTTCATCTGCCCTCACTCGTAGATCTCTTCTGTTCACCCCCCTCACCCCTCCTCCCTCCTTCAATGTTCGGCGCTTTTCTCTCATGGCCCCGCTCTCCTTTACCTCATCTTAAACTCTGATGCTGGAGGCCCATGTTTGCTTAGCCCGAGCCCTTAACTACACAGACTTTAATTAAAAGCCTGCACGCTTCTCTTTTGCTGCCCGTCCTCTCTCTGTCGGCCCGGCAGCTGGTGAATTGGCAGAAGGGATATTTCTTCATATGTTGAAAACATTTGAAGTTATGCCCCCATGACATCAATCCAAATGTCTCTTGAGTCAATTGACCCTTAGTGCGCATTCAAGCAGAGAGCAGTAGAGAAGATGCAAATGATGACAACAAGGAAGAGGAGTAATAGTTGAGTTGGCTGTCGTGGTAGCAGAGAGGAAAGTGGTGACGCTCATCTTCATGTAGATGAGGATTATTGTTAACACCATGGCATTATTCCAAGGTGATGGTGAAAAGAGACTACTCTTCCTCTCTTGGGGGTCTTTCATTTGGCGTTACCGTGGCCGTTAGCTGTTGGATAAAATACAAGTGCCATTTAGCCGGCTAATATACTTCTCACAATAACCCTTCATTCTTTCAACTAGTGCTGAAAAAGATTCTTGAGGTTACTATTAATATATTATATTTGATATGATCATGCGGTGTCTGGTATCTCTCCTGGAAATAGGGAAATATATAAAACCCAAGTAGGGATATAATATAAATATAAATGTAGCCACATAAGTGTTCCCTCATGCAGATCTCTCTCTTAAGGCCACTTTTGCTCACATATAGAAACATGCACTCACTTGGCCGGTGTGCCATAGCTCCAGTGAACTGGAGATAAGACCCGGTGTTTTCACATGTAAATGGTGTGAGCGTGGAGGGGAAGGAGGGTGTATTGTTAGCATGGAGCGGCTCTGAGGAGCTCTGCTGAGGGTTTGGCCAGCGCGACCCTTATCAGATGAAGAGCAGGCCTCTGAGGGAAGGAGGGGTCGGCGAGGGGCGAGGGCTGGTTAGGGTTGAGGGGGCCAACAGGAGAATAGAACAGCTGGCGGAGTCACGCGTGCAACCCCAAAAACACACAGAGCCCAGACTCGCTGAGCACGGTGGGAATCTCCTCTGCTAAGAGATCCACAAACACACAGCCTCTTGTGTCATTATCAGCCACCAGCCAGCAAGTCTGAGCACATAATCACACACACAGCAGCACAGAGAGAGGAGCATGTCACACAATCACGGACACGCATACACACCATCATCCAGGACAATCACAAAGATTCACATTTCCATACAGGCGTCTTTACACATCATTAGGCTAACACACAATATCAAGACTTTGACCATGGTCACCATAGCGAACTGACCATTGAGAAAGTGGGCAGTTTCACTTAAATAATAAATCTGCTCTAATTTCCTCTTCCACATGGTTCCAACCTCCTTCTATTGCTTGTGTTGTATCTTTCAAATAATCGGACAGATGCATTCATCTTTTCATTCTTTGCAATTGGTGCCATTCTCTCGCTCCATAAAGGCACTAACACTGATTCTGCATGTCTAACAACAAACATTATGTATTTAGGTCTTATATCAGTGGATGTCACAGTCTGATAACCACCAAAGGATCGACATATAAGTTGAAAAGACCAGTCTGGCACATTGTTCGGAGGAAGTCAAGGAAAGTTTCATGCAATGCAAGTCTAAAAGCC